CAGGGTTAAGGGTGATGGGAGCTGGCACCCAGACCACTTCAATGGGCTGAAGTGGTCTGGATGCCTACAGTGTCCCTTTAAGTTCAAAATAGCTAAACTGAAAAAAAATTTAGTTAGGCTTCCAGCATGGCTACCTTGGGCCTTAAATTCGAAATTCACTTTGAATTCTCACTTTAGTGAATAACCCTGTTAAAGTTTCAGGTTAAAGATAAAAAGTTAAGTTTTAGCCTGATCAGACCCAAGGACCTTTTCCCACATGTGTGCATTGTCTTCTACTTGCCTTTTGACTAACTCCACACAATGTTTGATTTTTTTTCAGCAATGGCTTTAATGTCGCCACATATTCATGAAGCCAAGCTTTATAGAATGTTTCACTTATACTTGTCCCATGGACATTTTCTGCAATCTCATCTGTGGATCTCTGCATCTCTCTGAGGTTTTTATTTTTTTATTTTTTTTATTTCTCTGACTAAATGCCAATGCCTTTATTACCCAGTCACTGAATTTTAATGGTTTGAGTTTGTGTCATATTTTTTCTATATATATTTAAAATAATAGATTTGATTAGGCTTGTGTTTCATGAATGGGTGAGACTTCAAGAGAACTATAACATGCCTGAAAGAACACCCAACCAAATATAAAAGTTTCTTCCTCCTTCTCATGGTCCTCCAAAAACAGAAATTGTCAGGAGGGCATTTAGGAAGGTTAGAGCAATTTATTGGTTAACTCATTGACAATCGCACTTTATCCCCATGATGGCTTACCATTTGGAAAAGAATAAAACTTGAATAATTTAAAGGGACACTCTAGCGTTATGAATCAAAACATGTATGCCTAATGCTAGAGTGTAATTATGATTATTTAGATTAATTGGCTGCCCTTACTTAAACTTAAATCATTTTACTTACCTTAGACACCAGACTCGCTGTGGCCGCCCTGCTGGATGAGTTCATTAATATTGAGCTAATGTAAAGTCACTACTGCCTGATATCAGGGCCGGATTAACATAGGGGCTGATGGAGCTGCAGCTCCATGCCCATGAAATAGGCCCATTGATTTGAAAAAAAAAAAAAATATATATATATATATATATTATTTTTTTTACACACTACTCTTAGGGTTTTCACGTGGCTGGTATTTGAGGCTGCCTTGCCGGTGCCGATATTGCAGTCATACTGGCAATACAAATGCTGGTATTTTTCTCAGTATAAACAGAGATTACGATGCAATACCAGCACTGGCAAGTAGGGGTCGCTGTGTGTGTGGAGAGAGGCAGGGATAGGAAGTTCCAGCATATCCCCCCCTGCCTATCTCTACTCACTGATCTGCAGGGGAGCAGCTACAGAGAGTGCAGATAGCAACTCCCCCCCTGCAGAGACATCGTACAGCTTAGGGAAGTGAGGGATGGGGGAAAGCCTGCAAGTGACATTGTGGGAGCTATGGGGACACTGAGACACTAAGGAACATTGGGAGACATTATGACACAGACACTTGGGGACACAGAGACACTTGGGGACACTGAGACACTAGGGACACAGTGTCCCCATGTCTCCCAGCCAGTGTCCATAGTGTACCCATGTCTTCAAGTGTCCCCATGTTTCTCAGTGTCCCCAAGTGTCTCAGTGTCCCCATGTCTCCCTGTGCCCCAAGTGTCTAAATATCCCTATGTCTCCCAGCCAGTGTCCCTAGTGTCTGTGTCCCTGGTGTCTCAGTGTCCCCATGTCTTCAAGTGTCCCCTATTTTCCCAGTGTCCCCTAGTCTCCCAGTGTCACTGGTGTCTCAGTGTCCCCAAGTCTCCCAGTATCACCAAGTGTCTCAGTGTCCCCAGGTCTCCTAGTGTCTGTGTTCACATGTGTCCCAGTGCCCCAGGTGTCTCAATGTCCCCATTTCTCTCAGTGTCCCCAGGTCTCCCAATGTCCCCTGTCTCAGTGTCCCCATGTCTCTCAGTGTTCCTAGTGTCCTAGTGACATGGGGACTCTGGGAGACATGAGGACACATAAACTAGGGGACACTGGGAGACATGGGACATTGAGACACTGTGACACATAGGGCCACTGGGAGACTAGGGGACACTGGGACACTGTGAGACTTGGGGTCCAGAGGGCACTGGGAGACATGGTGGTACTGGGAGACTAGGGGACACTGAGACACTGGGTGACATGGGGAAACTGATACATGGGGACACTGAGACACTGGGAGACTTGAGACACTGGGGGACAGGGAGACACTGGGAGCAATCCATCTATACAGCAGAATCAAACTGTAAGTAGTTTTTGGTGATTTTACAGCATTTTCTCTTGTGTCACTTCTTGTGATTTACATCATGTGATGTCACCCATACATAATTAATTATGCAAATTAGTAAGGCTGGTATGTTTTTCCAAGAAGGGTGGCAACTCTAACTACTTTTCATATACTCTTGCTTAAGTATGGAAACTTAAGAGGGATGTATGGGAACAAAACTTGTGTGGACTGGCTGACAATGAAATTAGTTTAGGCAATGCTGACTTTGGTCTCTCTCTAACACTATGGCATGTTCCCTGGGGCAAGCATGCCCAAAAATGTCTGCCCAAAGAACTGGAAGCCCAGCCTGGCATTAATGCATATCAGGCTGCCTGCCTAAGGGCATACTATGCAGACAGCACCCTGAGCTTGGCATAAATACGTCTAATGATGTGCTCGCTCAACGCAGTGTCCCATACCACTCGCTGGTCCACTTGTCTCCTTACCTTCTTACTAGCAGGCAGAAGCTCCTGGTATACAGTCTGGGACAGAGGAAAGCTGTATGTAGTGAGTGTAGAAGAAAGGGAACATGCCACAGTGTTAGAGAGACCAAAGTCAGCATTACCTTAACTATATTCATTGTCAGACAGTCCACATAAGTTTTGTTCCCATACATCCCTCTTAAGTTTCCATACTTAAGCAAGAGTATGTGAAAAGTAGTTAGGGTTGCCACTTTTCTTGGAAAAACATACTGGCCTTACTAATTTGCATAATTATTATGTATGGGTGACATCACATGATGTAAATCACAAGTAGTGACATAAGAGAAAATGCTGTAAAATCACCAAAAAACTACTTACAGTAGACATGGGGACACAGACACTAGAGACAATGGCTGGGGGACATGGAGACATTGAGACATGGGGGGCACTGGGAGACATGGGGACACTGAGACACCAGGGCCACAGACACTAGGGCACTAGCTTGGAGACATGGGAACATTGAGACACTTGGGGCACTGGGAGACATGGGGGCACTAGGAGACATGAGGACAGTGAGACACTGAGATACTAGGGAACACTGGGAAACTAGGGGCACTGGGAGACATGGGGACACTGGGTCCCCATGTGTCTCTGTGTCACAATGTCTCCAAATATCCCTTAGTGTCCCCATGTCTCCTTGCAGCCTTTCCCCCCATCCCTCACTTCCCTGAGCTGTAGGCTGTGTCTGCACGGTGGGAGTTGCTGTGTGGACTATATGTAGATGCTCCCCTGCAGATCAGTGAATAGAGAAAGGCACTAGGGATATGCTGGAACTTCCTATCCCTGCCTCTCTCCACACACAGCGACCCCTACTGGCCAGTGCTGGTATTGCATAGTAATCTCTGTTTATACTGAGAAAAATTCCAGCATTTGTATTGCCAGTATGACTGCAATATTGGCACTAGCCAGGCAACCTCAAATACTGGCTGTGCCAATAAAATAAAAGCCAAGTGGAATCCCTAAGAGTAGTGTGTTTTTTTAAATCAATGGGCCTATTCCATGGCCTGGGCCTGAAGCTGCTGCTCCATCAGCCCCTATGTTAATCCGCCTCTGACTGTGTCAGTGAGGAAGGTCATTCTGACAAAACATGTTTGACATTCAAGAACAGAAGATGTAGAGCCTAAGCAAGCTTACAATCTAAATGAATGAGGGACAAATATCCAGAGGGATTTGAGGGACTTAAATGATTTGGATAAATCTCAAGGTAGGTGATTGGGAGGTGTGGACACAATACTTGGGAGAGAGCAGAGGAAGGTTATAGGATGAGAAGTTAAGGGGCAGCCATCGAGAAGTCCTGCTGTCTACTGCCTGGGGGGTGGGTATAAGAACAGAACAATAGCAGGTCGGCGAACAGGACAGTAACAGGTCGTGAAGCTAAAACAATCTGCAAAGAGGAGGAAATATAAAGAGGGGCACAGTTATGAAGAGCTTTGAACTGAATTCTAAATGAAACAAGAGGACAGTGCAGAGACTGACCGAGCGCTGAGGTTTAGGAGTTGCGGGACATAGGTTAGATGAGTCTATCAGAGGCGTTCATCACTAGCTGTAGAGAGACAATGGGACACTCTTACGGCCATTAAAGCAGAGGATTACAATAAAAAAAAAACTACAATAAATTATTTATAAATCAGTCTGTGTAAATAAGATATTTTGTTTTAAACTACATTTCCTTGACATAAATTATTATTAGCTCACCTCAAATTTCCCAGATCAGCCCTGGCCCTACCACCACCCACACCCCTAAAATGAAAGTGTCCCTCTCTGTCCATTTGAAATGTTGGTAGGTTGGCAGAGCACTGTGAAACAGGGCAGTAGAACAAACTGTGATCAAATTCCCTGACCCTATAGAATAATAAATAAATCAATACACTACGTTGCTGAATTGCAGTTGCTTAGACAAAGCGGGGTCCAAGCTCCATGTGACATACTGAGAACTCCTGGAGAGGCCACTGATGACAAAATGTCCTACTTTACATTTATAATAAATCTATGTTTCCCTGGTTTTAGAATATCATAGAAATATATAGGCAGATAGTTTCATAGCAGCATTTATTCGTTCGGAACATCTGTTACACGACTGAAAACTTCCACCAAGACTTCAAGGAACCCCAGAAAGAGATGGAATTTGTGAAAGCATGTCACCAGAAACAAATTGCAAACGCACTATGTTTGCCACCTAAGGGCCGCCGTAGTTAATCTGCTTTTAAAGCTGTTGTGTAATGCTCAAATTATTGTTGCAGCCTAGAAGGGCAGCGATAAGTTCTTTCCGGCTGCACTCTGCGTGCTTGGATCTGAGGATTCTAGAACGTTGCAAGTATCACTCTGATCTGAGTCTAATCGTTTATTAGAGCTTTATAAGGAGCATAATATGTATATACAACTCTGTATTCTTACCACATAAACAAGCTCGAGATAGAACGCTCTCAGTCTTTCTTGTGCAGTCACATAACCATCTGGCATTATTTTCTAATCCCTTTTTTTTTTTCCCCCAGAGCCTGTAGAAGCCATGGCTACCTTTCTCCTGGTGTTTGGGATTTCAGTAGGTGCTTATGTCCTAATCTACTATAACTTCATCAGAGGGAAGCAATGTAAGAGCAACGCCAGCCTCAAGGGGAAGACCGTCATAGTGACAGGTACATCTTGGTTTCTCAAGTTGATCTCAAAACTTCTGTCTTAGTATTCTCGGTTTGTCATTTGCTCCCCCACCCCCCTGCCAAAAAAAAAAAAGTCAAATGTATCTTTAAATAATTTTCAGTCTGCATGTTTGCGGTACTGGATGCAACCAAATGTAATATAAAGTATATGATTGTAGCATTAAAAGCATGCAATAACAATACCTAATTTAAAACAATAGGCAAAAAACAAAGCAGATTTAAGGTTCTGAAGTAAGTTGCTTAAAAAGCCTGCTATCACTGTATTCACAGCCACATTCCCAGCTTTGTGAACTGCGCTATGTGCACAGATAGAGAGCCATGTTCGTTAACATTGTACATGCATACTGGTCACACTAGTTTGACAGTTGTTGAAGAATTCAATAGCCTCCCTAGCTCCAGGGAGGGATCATTTAAAACTACTTTTTGCAGACACCTCAGTTGTAAGGACTCCAGACAGGAAGCATGATATGTTCTGCAGTGGTTGAGGGAGATGGGATTAAAGCGGTTTGTGTTCTGTTATGCAGTCCCCGATCTTCCCTTGGTATGTTTTATTAGACTACAGACCTTGTACCTTGTCATTTCATTATCAGATTGAGAAATCCTGTCTCTCTATAGCTAGTCAATAAATTCAGATACGAGGATGATTCAGTGGACAGACTTAACATTAGATTTTTTTTAATATATATATATATATATACTTTATGCGAATAACACACAATTAATTTTTTTATTGATAGGGTAGTATTTACCAGAACAATGTAGATGTTTGTATTATTAATCTGGTAAATCCTTTCACTAATGAACCTCTTATCAGACTCCCCCCCCCTGACGAGCCTCTAAATCTGGCGAAACGCGCGTCGGGCTCGACACTGTGCCGACACCATTCTTATCATTATTTGCATCCCTTTATTCCCCATGATAATTTCATTGCGGTTTGCGGTTTAGACCTCATACCCATTATAATGTGACAACCGCTTTAAGTACCTGCATAACAACTTCATTTTGGCTGATCGATCGCCACTTTTAATTATTTGGAAGCAATATACCGATCAGGGTATATTGGGAAGCAACATACTGACCAGGGTATCTGTTACTTCGCTAATTTACAGTATATTTTATTGCCTTTCTGAGTTCTTTTACTTTGTAACATTGGTCTATATTTATTTATTCTCCCTTTACTATAATTGGTGCCCATGAAGGCACTATTCCTATCTTATTTATCTTTTGATTATCACTAGAGGAGGTTAACCTTGTCACCTAGCTATCATACAGTCCTACTATTTAGTTAGCCTGGTGTGATACTTTCAGTCACTGCATCAACCAAGCTCTATCTTTCACTACCAAGTGCTGCCTGCTCACTCTATTGCATTAGTTGTGCATTATTTCAGCTAGTTCAGCACTGGAGCTTATTTCCGGCCAACAAGTGACTCAGTGGGTTTAACTAGAACGGACCTATTGAGTTGGCATGTCTCCGTAGGATTAGTTGTCACGTTATATTTTGCCAATTCTATTTTTGGCACGTCTATATAGTGATGTAGCCACTTTTACAGGAATCGATACATTGACACATTTTATCCAAATATAAGCTAACAGATTTTGATATATATTTGTAGCTAATCCTAGCGGTCTAGTTTTAGAAAGTTATTTTGACTAAGTCTATTGTGACAATTTGTGTTACTCTCAGTGTGCATACTCCTAGGATACCATACTCGGCATTATTCAGTTTTACAGTTTGTGGATTTATGCACACGGATTGACTTCTCTCTCTCCTCTTTTGTTCCATACTATTTCAATTAGCTTTGTTGTATATTTTGATTCTGGAGATTGTCACCATCAACTTTACTCCTAATCATTCAACCATATTTTTGCAATTTAGACTTTAACTTTGCAATTTATTTTTATTTTTGTTTTGTGTCCTCCCTTACTCCCCTTATCCCCCCTATGTATACACCCTAAGCATCATCATGTTGGTTACTCTATCTGTCTATACTACATTATCGTGTTAGAGGCAGTTTATTTTGGGAAACGTCTTTTCATATATATTAATAAAGTATCTTCTAGATTTTTAATTTCAGGGACAGATTCTTTTCTCTTTGTTCCAAAAATTTAGGGTTACCCCCTTTCTGTTCCCTTTATATTTGATAATCTTATGGGCCATTTTTTTTCTTCTCTTATCAGACTCTGCAAACCCCAAGACTAATTGTGTGATTAACTGCAACAGTTTAAACTTTATAAACTGTATCATGCTTGTGTCTTTTAGGAGCAAATATAGGCATTGGAAAAATGACCGCTCTTGACATGGCGAAGCGGGGAGCACGCGTCATAATGGCTTGCCGCGTTAAAGAAACCGCAGAGGCAGCTGCATATGATATACGAAGGGCAAGTTCACAACAAATATATGTTTGAGGGGTTTTTTTTTGTTTTGTTTTTTTTAAATATTGCATGCATCTTCCAAAAAAAATTAAAATGGACACTCCAGGAGTTAAAAAAATAAATAAATAACAAAACAAGGTTATTTAATAAGTTTAGATTTGAACCCTATGAATTTTGTTCCTCCTTCTGTTATATCATATAAGCCCTCATTATATAAAAAAATTTGATGATTACATGGCGTATTTAGGGCCAATGGGTTGTGCTGTATGTAACTCTTCACAGTATGGCGGGGGTACACATGCAGCCTCTTGTCCTATATAATCATCAAAGGGACTCTCTAGACTTAATATATATACCCCCTCCCCTTTTATTGTATATGCATGTCTGAGTTTGATATTATTAATTGGCAGTGAATAAATATTTTTGAAAAATGTAAATTGTAAATATAATTGTAATACTAATGCATTCAGAATTTCCTGGTCATAGTTGGGCAAGGATGAAGAATATGTATCAACAGGTCTAATTGGAGTCCCCATCCCTTTTTAGCATAGATCTAAAATGAAGATTTGTATCAGTAATAATGCCGTGCACAGCTCACAAACCCTCACTGGATTCCTAGCCACACTGCTCTCTGTGTGTTTGCATTGATGGGTGTAAGAACAGGAATTTCTTACCCCGTTTAATTAAAAGCCAATGGTCAGCTCAGTTACTCATCTCCGCAAAATACAGCTGCACTTGGAGGCTAAAAGCTATTAAATGCATTTAAGATGTGTGGGTACCCAGAATGTCTGTTTAAAAGGGGGACTTAGTATTTTGGATCAGAGTACCAGGGAGATATAATTGGATCATGCTTAGTGTTAGGAATAATAGTCCAAATTACACTTGAATATGTATATAGTGTACCATAAGTAACATTCCATTGTTATATGCATTGCTTACAGTTATCTGGGAACAATGAAGTGATCTTTATGCATCTTGATCTGGCCAGTCTTGATTCTGTCCGAGCATTCTGCAAAAACTTTCTCAGTTCTGAGCCTCGATTAGATATTCTTATTAACAATGCAGGTAAGACGGTAAGCTTCAAAGTGTTGTGTATTCAGCAGGAGATGCAGCCAGTTGCATAGAACATTAACTATTATATTTTTAATGACAAATCTACCTTTGACATTCTTAACAATTTAACGAACCAATACATTGATCTAATAAATGAACTAAGAATCACAGTAAAATGGCTTGATATAGTTGGTTTGTAATGAGTCCATGTCTCCCAATAGGTCCCCAGTGGCTCCTGGTTACTTTGA